AACATTAACTAGGTGTTAATATGCTTACTGTTAAAAAAAAGTTCTTACAAATAAATATTTTAAGGCTTCTCATTTAGGTATAAATAAGGCATAAACAGGCAATTCACCACGGAGGAAATATAATTGACCAGTACACGTGTAAAAAGTATTAGCCCATTCTAAAAGTCAACTGAAATAACATAAACCAATGTAGATTTTTCAATCTATTAAACTGGCAAAATAATAATCAGTGTTGGTAAAAATCTAGGGCAAAGTAAATTTTAGAGGTCTTGCAATGTTCATTTCTCAACCTTTCACAAGTGCAATCGGCAAGACAAATCCAGAGTTTAAGAGTGAATTTCCACTTCTAGAAATCTAGCTTGAAGGGATAATAATGGACGGTCAGAGCAGCTTTGTTTTTGAAACTAAACTAAACCAAACCAAACCAAACCAAAAATGTTACGATCTCACGACCAAAACAGTGAACTGCTGAAATCAATTACGGTACACTCAGACAACCGAATACAAGACAGTCTTGAAAATATTTAATATAATGGAAATGTTTACAACCTATTGTTTAATTAAAGGTAGATACAAAGCAGCATGTACAGTATGACTTGTTTAAAAAAGGAAGATGACATACACATATATGCAAAAGTAATATACTAAAAAATAAAACATAAAACGAAAATTTGTCTTCTTAGGCAGGAGATTATGGGTGAGTTTTACATCCAGTTATTTGTACATTTTCTACAATGGTCATCTTTTCTAGTAAAAATATATTGCTTACACTTATTTACATATATTTTGGGGGGTGGGGAAAAGCAAGAGAACAAGTTTACAAAATCCAAAATGCCAAACACCCTGGGGAGGGGGGCGGAATTAAGCCTCCATACGGTATGAGCAAAATGCCTATATTCAATCATCCAAAGCAAATTATTATTTAGGAACTATTTGAAAATAGATAATTTGAAAATATTTTAAGAACAAAAGTGATGGTGTATCAAAAATTACTTTTTCCAAGAATGTATGTATATGTATAACTGAATCACTTTGCTGTAAAGTAGAAGTTAACACAACATTGTAAATCAACTATACTTCAAAAAATAAATTTTTAAAAAAGAACTCAGGTAAAATAAGAACTTTAGGCCAATGAACTTAAGAATTTTCTTTATGAAAAAAATCACTTTTTCCTATCATTTGCATTTTGGGTTAAACTTAGTGTTATTTAAAGAATCATAAATTAGAACCTCAAACTATCTCAGGAAGACAATAGTGTTGAGAACACATGTCATTTAAACTTCTCTGAAACTACTTAAATTTCTTTCAAAAAAATATATCAGTTTAAAACCAAATATATATATTTTTAATATTAAAAAAATTAATCCTTCATTTCAGTAATTCTCTGGTTAAAATCGGGGGACACCCTGAACCTCGAAGGTGCCACTCAGGTCCCAGAGAGCATCATTCCTCCAATCATCCCAGCTGTTAGCAACATCCGGGAAATCCCAAGAGAGTAAAAGATAAGTATTAAAAAACAACAACAACAACAACCACCCAACAAAAACCGTATCTCAGTGCCAGGGCTGCAACTGGCACGGTTGCAGGAACCCCGTCCGAAAGACAAGCGCAGGACTCAAGCCAGGGTCAGAATCCTTTCACCAGACCCGAATCCAGCTGTCCCAGCTGCGGTTACGCTACCTGCGCTCACCACGTCTCCCACCCTCACGGGCTAGTGCTTCTGGGGCGCGCCGACGAAGGCGGGGCGCATGCGTGAAGAGTCCTAGGGCCCCTCCCAGCTGCGTTCTGTAGCTGCATGTGCGGCGGTCCTGCACGGGGGAGGTGCGGGGTTGTAGGAGAAGGCCGTGGTGTCCGTTAAGGCCCAGCGCTCTTGGGAGCCGCTCAGGACCCCGGTTTCCGTAGGTAGCCAGGCACCTGCCTTTCATTATGAGCCGGAATCTTGCCTCGCCAGGCCCTGTTCTTCGAAGTGGTCCGCAAAGGTCATTAAGGCCTCCATCCTTCCTCGACGCGGTGGGATCAGATTGCCAGATTGTGCTTAAGTGGAAGCACATGCTCCTTGTACCCCCTTTTGCAGAATTTTTGTGGGCCCAGTTTGTACTATGTAGTTGTAATAATTGTTTTGGGGGGCAGCGGACTGGCAAGTTATGTATGTGCACCTGCCCTTATATGCCTTTAACTCTTGGCTGCCTTGTAGCTTTAATGGAATTTCACGAATGATACGTTATGTTGGGTTTCCCTGATACACAGCTAAAACCAAAACCAAAAACAAAACGGTGTCACAGTTATTTTTATACAAGTGCCGAAAGTAATCATCCGTTGTGCACCACAGCAGATGTGGTATTTTTGTTGTTTTAATGCAGTTTATCAAATTAATGTGCAGATGGTAGGACTGGCTTTGACTTTGTTACTCCAAACTGAACACTTGGGCTTGTGGGATTAATTTTAGAATGTTTAAATTTTGTTTTGTTTTACTCGACTCAATAATACTATTGTTTGTACAGGAATTACTTTTACAAATAAAAAATGGACATGTAGCCAATGTTTCCTGCCTCCACTCTTGCTTTCTATAGATCTTTTAATTTTTAAACATGATTTGATTTGGGACTAAGTTTCTTTTAAAGGTTTGTCATTATTTCTTTATAGATGATTCCAGTTCAAGATATTTTTCAGATTAATACATGACAAACTGTCACTGTGGAATAAAGATACATACTGAACAATTTTACATTTAAGGATGTCTGTATATGAAGTACATAATCATTGGTAAAAGTCTAAGAAAGCCATGTTGCCTCTAACATTTAACTATAGTTTCTTACAGCTTTTATTGTGTCTCTTACATTATATAATGTAGGCAGGACCATCTAATTTGCTGTTTTCTAATACTTCCATCCACTCTCCAAAAAAATTTATTAATCATGAGGTTGGGAAATCTGTACTTTTCTTGGTCACTGTGTTGATAGTCCAATGTCTAAATTTGACAGGTCTGTCTGGGAAGAAAACTTATAATGCTACATTATTGTAGTCTATGTTTTTATATTATACTTGAGATCTATATATTTACACATAACATTGTGTTTTTAATTAAAATAATGTATAAAGACTAAAAAAATTATAGCAATTTAGTCCTACTGAAAGTAACATGTGCATCATTTGGCCCCTTTGGTGGCCTCTAGGGATGGCAGTCTCACGCGCTGTGGGGTATTTCACCCAAATCTGGAAGTGGCTGGAGGGAGTCAGAAACTAAACGTCCAGCTGGTCCAGCTGGCTGTGTGGTGGCAGCAGAGGAAGGACTAGTATTTCCAGGCCAACTGACAGGGCACTGGGGAGGTGGGCAGCATGGAGGGAATCTGAGGAGGCACCGTGAGATATGCAGCCAATATAGGCACTGTGCTATGAATACCACTCGGATTCTTATTTGTGTTTATATTTAAGATCTATCCACATTGCCTTGTTAGTTCCGCTTTATTACTTTTGATTTTTACTTGGATAGTATGTAGCATAATGTATTTACTAATTCACTTAGTGATGGGCACGGTACATTGCCTCCAACTTTTTACTAAGATAAACAATGCATTATGTCCCCCACGCCCACTCCTCTATCCAAGTCTGACTTTTCAAGGAATACCCAACACACAGTACCAAGCTGAGTGCTAGCAATTAGTAAATATTTAATAAACACTTTGGAAACTGATTTATGGAGGGCCTCAAAATCCAGATAGTGGGGCTTCCCTGGTGGCGCAGTGGTTGAGAGTCCGCCTGCCGATGCAGGGGACACGGGTTCGTGCCCCGGTCCGGGAAGATCCCACATGCCGCGGAGCGGCTGGGCCTGTGAGCCATGGCCGCTGAGCCTGCGCGTCCGGAGCCTGTGCTCTGCAACGGGAGGGGCCACAGCAGTGAGAGGCCCGTGTACCGCCAAAAAAAAAAAAAAAAAAAAATCCAGATAGTGTGTTTATTTGACTCTAAGTCAATTTGCTGAAAATAAATTTACAGAAAGCCACTTCCAGAGAGAAAAATTTGTCAAAATCCAATTTTCCAAAAACGAATGCTTTAAATTACCAGTTTGATGAATAGTTGAGGCCTATTAAAAAGTCTGAGCTCTGCTCGTGCTTCAAAGCCTTCTGTGAGGTGAGCCAAGGAGCAGAGGCAGAGCATGAGTATACAAAAATAGAGATGAACTGAAAACTCCGTTTAAGAAAAATTTCACTAATCTTTGTATCAAGTGCCTGGGGCAGATGCAAAACTAATGCTTTGAAAAAAATCTATTTGGCAAACTCGCTTTTAACTGCTAGTAACAGACACAGAAATATAAATAAACTGGTTTTATTTCATAATAAGCTGTCTAGAGATAGGCAGCGGCTAGTGTCCGATCAGTAGTTTAACAGCTTGAGGACTGGCATCTCTGTGGCTCTTTTGGCCCTTCCTTCCCTCGTGGTTGAAAGGACTACTGCAGCTCCAGCCATCACTCTGGTATTTCGGACAGAAGGAGAGGGAAGAGGTGCCCTAGCTGCATCTATCATTTTAATCAGGGAAGCAAAAGTTTTCCCAAAGGTTCCCTGGCCCCCCCACCAGCTGCAAGAGAGCCTGGAGAGAGTGAGCATTAAGCTTTCCCAGGTTCTTAGTGGAGGCAGATAAAGGGGAAGGGGATTGGGAATAAGTGGCAAGTTAACACCAACTCTATCGTCCTCAAATATAATTAACTTCTCTTTCAAAATAGGTAGTTTATATGTCAAGACATGTCTATAAACAATTTTAAGATTATAATTTAAAACTCAGTTCTGGGCTTCCCTGGTGGTGCAGTGGTTGAGAGTCCGCCTGCCAATGCAGGGGACACGGGTTCGTGCCCTGGTCCAGGAAGATCCCACATGCCGTGGAGCAGCTGGGCCCGTGAGCCATGGCCGCTGAGCCTGCGCGTCCGGAGCCTGTGCTCCGCAACAGGAGAGGCCACAACAGTGAGAAGCCCGCGTACCACAAAACAAACAAACAAACCAAAAAAACCAAACTCAGTTCCGCATTCAATCATGAATATTTTTAACAGATGCATTTCAGCTATACTACTTTTCCTCTTTTTCTCCCCCTTAACATTTTAGAATGGGACTAAAGGGAAATTACTTAATCTTTCAAGAAAGAGTCGGGGAGAAAGTCAAAAGACCAACAGTAGCAAAACACTTTCAACTACTCTTCTGCTCCTTGTCCTTCCACACCAAAGAGCATCTGGAAAACATCCCCACATCCTTTGGCATTTAAAAACTGATACAGTTGACCAAAGTCCATGTGGTTTCCTCTGGCTCCATTAACACTGAATACTTTTTCTTCAAAAACTGAAAATTTTCTTTGTCTTTCCATTTCCTCATTTGTACCATCAAAAGCAATGTCTTCTCGATGGCGAATTAAAATTCTCTTCCAGTTTAATTTTCTGAGTCTGAAAGAAATTTTCAGAGTAGAAATTTTGAAAATGTGTTGTGTATTCTAAGGCACTGAAAATAGAAGTTATGAAACAGATTTCTCAGTGCCTTTTCCTAGAAGTAAAGAAATCTACTTTTATCTCACATGGATTTTATTTTAATCAAATATGATTCTGGTTATAATCCCACCCCCAAACTCACTTATTGCCATTATCACTGCCTTGTATTAGCATTTTAGAAATGTGGAAATTGCTGAATCTCGACCTCCCAAAGGGACTTCTCAGAAATGAGAAGATTAGAAACCCCCTTGTTTCACAGGGTTCACAATTTACAGCATCACTAAGATGAGGGGAGAATCAGATCCATAGACATGGAGAGAACAGTAGACACCATCTTGGGCAGGGGCTCGATTTAACATCTATCTACAGAGCATCTTCTTTGCGCCCTGTATCAGGTGAAGGGAGTGATGCTGATCATATGTGAGTGCTGTTTTAGACTGAGTCCCCATACATACTGATTTCCACATCTCTAGTATCGTGCTTAGTACTAAAATTATTGACAAGGCATACAAAAGTTGTGAAAGCCAACCTTGACCAGAATTCTTCACAGGCACTTTGTGGGCCTTCCACACAAACAATACCAGGTTTCCCAGGCATGCTAAACCCAGATAGGGAAAGCTCCTTTGCCCACTCTAGAATGTTCTTTCTTTTGCATTTGTTGTAGATGTGATGGCTGTAGATCCAGAGTCTTGTGAGAATGAGGTCAACTGGCTGGACTGTACTTCCTGGAACAGGGGAAGGTGTGTTGTCTTTGCTGACATAGTCAGAAGCGTGTTCTCTAACCCACTCTGTGGCATTCAATATACAGACATCTCCAAGACAATTCTTTTGTAGGTATGTGGTCAGATCTGTATTCAGCTGTGCCTGCTGGGATCTACTTAATAATACTGATCTAATGGAAAAGATATGGGATTAAAAAATTAAATCAATTTTCTTGGAACAGAAAACAAACTTGAGAATTGCTTTTATTCTCAGATTAGTTTTGACCTCTAGAATTGGCCAGTTTCTGTAACATACCTGACAGTAATTTCAGGCAGAACTGCAGGGTATTTAAAGGGAAGAACACAGGCCAGAGAAAACATCACCTGATAAAAAACAAAAAAAGAGAGAGAAAAAAAAATGCCGTAAGGGCTGTTTTAAGTTGAGACATGTTTCAAAAGTAAACATGAAACATGCTTCCAAAAGTAAAACTGAATTACCACTGCTTCCTCAGATATGTCCAGGTTCATAGTGATAGTAAAGTAAACTTTTGAAGATCGTCCTTCCATTGTCCTCTTTTCAATACAATCTTTTAGTTCTGCTAAAGCCAGCTGGTCATTCACTATGAGCTCATTCACACCGGGGAACATACTGGCTAGCAGGTCTAACTCAGAGAGCTGGGCCTCTGCCTGTTCAATCTCAATCATTTTTGGATATCTGTAGGGTTCTAGGAAGATAGGATAATAGAGACATTTACAAGTATTATACAATCTTGGGAGAACTCAATATGGGTACTTACTGAATATGGAAACTTATTGAAAATTTGATTTCTTCATAAAATATGAAAGTTAATCAGAATACCTTCTGGCTATTCTACTTTCAGATGTAATATACTAAGGACCCAAAGAACAGGACAATCCAATGAGAGCCATAAAACTCTAATAATAAGCAGGCACCAAATTCCTCTGTTTCTAGATAGTTGATGTGGCATCTTGAGCTGCCACAATGAGCAATTACATTGAAGTAAACTAATTATGTAGTCAAACACCATATCAATGATATAACAAGGACAGAGGCTCTGACTGGTTACCTTGGAAAATTAGAATGAAAAGAATAAGGAAGAGAGTTAGTTATGTGGACGGTTAATTTTTCCTTCTTAATATTAGTTAGTTTTTTAAAAAGTAGAAGAATGTGAAAAAGGGAGAATAAAGGCTAATTATCCCACAGCTCAAGTAACCCATGTTAACATTAAAAAAAAAGTACAAGATTATAAAATTCAAATGGCAGAGAAAGGTTATGAAATGAAGATACAGTTTGCTGCTGGTGACTGCTTCCCCTATCTGTCCAAGTCCCCGATCCAAGGCAGAGTTTTAGGTGTTTCAGAAACAGAAAACATTTTAGGCATTATACATATATGGAAAACACATGTTGGTATGTGTAAATAAATTAAATATATAATTAAAATGTATCTACGGGGATCATATATGCACATCTTTTTTCCTTACTTCCTATCCCTCTTCCCCCCAAATATATTTTGCAGATCTATTCACTGTCAGCACATATTGTTTTATCTCATTCTTTCTAGTGGTTGACTGTCATACTGAATCATGTAGATATGTCATAATTTATTGCGTTTGTTATCTACTGATGGGCACTTGGGTTGCTTCCAGATTTTTTCTATTATGAATACTTCTATAATGGTAGTTTATATATATTGCATGTTGAACTGTGAATACTGTATATTCAAGAATCAGTTTGTACAGGTGGCTGGTTGATACAGCATTTAAAAATTTTGGTAGATATTGCCAAGTTGCCTTCCAGAAAGTTGCTACATGGAAGTTTAAAATTTTTACACAGTCCCCTCCTTTAAAAAAATTCTTAATACATAGTCTTTTTATGGTGTTTTGTGTCTGTGTGTGCCATTCATGAGTTTTTATTTTTAAGGATGCAAACTCACCAGCCTTTTCTTTTACAGATTCTGGACTTTGAATCTTTGTTAGAAAAGTCTTCCCCACTCCAAGGTTATAAAGGTTACCAATCTGCTAATTAAAATATGATTTAAAAAAATTTTTTAGAATTTCATAAATTGATTTTAATTTCATTTGCAAGAAAAATTGTGGGGCTTTCTAATAAAACACGAAGGCTGAGCACAGGTATTTATTTCTCTTTCTCTATTTTTCCCCCATTTAAACTAGAGTAAAGGAACAGATTCTTAAAGACAAAGGGAGAGGAAATAATAGATAAAAGCTGTCAACAAAATTCTGGAAGATGGAAAGGGGTGAATGAATTATAACTGACAGATTTCAGCTTTCTTCCCTCTGTTAACTTGGTCAGGTGGGGAAGGGAGCTGCAGAACTTCAGAAAGGCTCAGTACTGTCAACACCAGCTACCTTGGAAAGCAGCAGTGTGTATGCAGTAGAAAACATGAATTTGTTGAAAATCTAGGGTCTAGACTTTAATTAGACTCAGTTCAGCATCTCTTAATATTGGCACTATTGACATTTTGGATGAGATAACTCTGTGTGTATGTGTGTGGCAATCTCTATCTTTTAATTATAGTATTTAGACATTTACATTTAATGCAATATTAATATGTTATGTCTTAAGTCAACCATTTTGTTTTCTATTTCTTTGGGGGTTTTTTCCTGCCTTTTTGAAAATATTTTGCAATTCCATTTTGGTTAATCTATAATGTTTTTGCATGTATTTCTTTTTATAGCTTTTTTAGTGGTTACTCTAAATTATATATATATAATATTATATATATATATAATTACACACATATGTATATACAAATTATAACAGTCTACTGGTATCATATTTTACCAGTGTCAGTAACATACAGAAAACTTATGTCACTTTTATTTTTACCTTCCTCCGTTAATAATATAGTGATCTTAGGGAGGGAGGGAGACGCAAGAGGGAGATATGGGAACATATGTATATGTATGACTGATTCACTTTGTTATAAAGCAGAAACTAACACACCATTGTAAAGCAATTATACCCCAATAAAGATGTTAAAAAAATAATAATATAGTGATCTTAAATTTTTCTTCTACATATATTTAGAACAACAGTGTAATAATTTTTGATTCAGCCATCAAATATGATGTAGAAAACTCAAGGAAAATCCATTTTATTCATTTATATTTTTGCTCAGTCATGATATTTCCTCCATAATTCCTTTATTGTTTCTTTTCTGTTTAGAAAACTTACTTTAGCCATTCTTTTAGGGTAAGTCTTACAAATTCTCTTAGTTTTCCTTTATCATAGAATGTCTTGATTTCTCCTTCATTCCTGAAGCATATTTTCACTGGATATAAGTATTCTGGGATGATAGTTCTTTACTTTCAGCATTTGAACAGTATTATGCCTCTTCCTTCTGGTCTCCATAGTTTCTGATGAAAAATCCTCTGTTATTTGAATTGTTTACCCTTATAGCTAAGGTTCATTTTGCTCTTGCTGCTTTCAAGATATCTTTCTTTTAGTTTTCGGAACTTTGACTATGATGTGTCTTAATGTGGATTTCTTTGGGTTCATCTTGCTTGACATTAATCTGGTCTCTTGAATCTGTTTATACCTTTTGACAAATTTGGGGAATTTTCAGCCATTATTTCTTCAAGTACATTTTCAGTTCTGTCCTCTTTCTCCTCTCCTTCTCGGATGACATGAATGTCAGATCTTTTGTTATAGTCTCACATGTCCCTAAAACTCTATTTATTTTTGGTCTATTTTCTCTCTGTTATTCAGATTGGGTAATTTTTGTTGTAACTTCCAGTTTGCTGATTCTTTCCTTTGCTCCTTTCCTTCTGGTGTTGATTCTATCTACCGTGTTTTTAATTTTGGTTGTTATATTTTTCATTTCTAACATTTCTTTTTAGTTCTTCTTTCTGTCTTCTGTTTCTCTACTGAGACTCTATTTTTTTCATTTGCTTCAAGTGTGTTTGTAATTGCCTGTTGAAAATTTTTATGATAGGGGTTTTAAAATCTTTGTCAGATAATTCTCCCATCTCTGTCATTCTAGTATTGGCATCTATTGATTTTCTTTTTTCATTTAGTTTGAGATTGTCATTGTCCTTGGTATGATGAGCGATTTTGATTGAAACTTGGACATATGGGGTATTAAGAGACTCTGGATATTATTTAAATCTTCCAATTTAGCATGCTTTATCTGATACTGCTTCAGGAGGGGAAGAGGTGGGTGCTGCTTCATTACTACCAAGTGTGATAGAAATCCAGGTTCCCTACTCAGCTTTTATTGACATCTAAGGTAAGCAGGGAGTGGAGAGAGTTCTTCATTACTGCTGGGTGAGGATGGGAGTTCTAGTGCCACTGTAGACCTCTAAGGATACCTCCCTGGTTGGGAGTGATAGGAGTGCCTCATTATTGCTCCCCAGGTGGCCTCCACTAACACCAGGGTTAGGGGTGGCTTTGTTAATGGTAGGTGGTGTTGAGAGCTCTGACTTTCCACTAGACCTCTCTGACAACACCCCAGAAGGGGATAAAAGAGGGTCCCTTGTTATTGCTGCATCACGCAGACATACAAACTCTTCATGTGGTCTGACATGGACCTGACATGGGGCTGACACTGACACTGTAGTGCAGTCCTTGTTACTGCCTAGCAGGGAGGAAAGTCCTGGGTCCCAACTCAGACATTTTTGGCACCTTTCTGACAAGGGGTGGGCATTAGGTGCTTATTACAGCTCAGTGAAGATGGAATCTAGGCTCCCTTTGCTGGTGTTAGTAGGGGAGAGGCCACAGTGTTTTTGTGGGATTTGCCTGGTATACAGTATTTATTATTTAAATGTTTTCTGTCTTGCTAGACTGTACTTTTCTTGATACCTTATTAGATACAGCAGGTTTTTGTTAGGGCTTAAATTTTTCTTTTTTTTTTTTCTGGTTGGTACCCTTGGATTTCTGGATACCAATCTAAAGATGACAGAGAGACACAAAGTGAGCAAATGCTGTTGGAAAAATGGCACCAATAGATGTGCTCAACGGTTGCCACAAACCTTCAATTTGTAAAAATCACAGTATCTGCAAAGTGCAATAAAATGAGGTATGCCTGTATATTCAAACAGTAGAATATTATGAGATAATATTAAAAATGGATATTAACACTGATGTTCATTTTATATGGTTACCTAAAATAGTAGATTGTAGAGCAATATAAATAATCTTAATCAATAAATAATGATATTACTATTCATTCTTATACCATCACACATACTTGAAAAAAAATCACAAAGAGAATTCACCAAACTATTAACAGTTGGCTAAATGTGGGTAGAGGGAAGAAGAGAAGGATTTTCACTTTTTAATTTGTGTGCTTCTATATTGTTTGACGTTTTATGATTAGCACGTAGTACTTCTAAATTCACCAGAAAAAAAATAAGGTTACTCTTCCGAATGGAAAAGAAGAGCTCAATCCCACTGTTGCACAGGAAAACATGGCTTACCTTCTCAATGAGAATTTACTCCGTGAAATCAAACACCATTATTTCAGCTACTGGTGTCTTCATGGAATTCCTTTTAATCTTTGGTAAAGGTTTATCAAGCAGCTACTATATGTAGAGCTTCATCCTTCACTCCTTCTTGGAACTTTCTATTTAGTTCAAAGATCAGGACTTATATCTAATAAAATATAGAACAATGAAGGTAAAAAGGCCAAGTGCTTAATGACCAGTATAGGTATTATCACGAGGATTAAGATAAGAGCATAATCAATGAAATAGGTCATCAGGAAAGATTTGAGGAAGGCAGCAAGATATGGGTTGAGCCTTGAAGGAAGGGTAAGACAAGGGAGGAGGAGGCACAGTGGGGAGAGAGAACAGGTGTGCAAGGCAGGAAAGCACAAGAAAAACAGCATAGGCCGGAACCTGTCCCTTCTTCACAAGCTCAACTACCAAGGTCTAATTCAGGGACACATCGTTTGGAATATTTCTTCTTGGGCTGATTACTTTCTGATTATCCTCTAAATCCATTCTTGGCCCTTCTTTTCCCTGCCCTGGACTCTGGATAGCTGACCTCTATAGCCTATAGCACCCAAGTCTTCTGCCTTCCTTGTGGTTGGGTTCAGCCAATGCTCCGACAGGAAGTGGGAGGATGGGAGGAGAAAGAGGCTAGGGTATTTCCTCACTACTCCTTCCTTGCTTTGGTGGTATTCTGACAATGGCTGTGACCCTCTATGACCAAGCTTCTGCAGGCAGCCCTTCTTCTTTAGCTCCAGCAGAACTTTCAGCCAAGGGATAGTCATGGTTCCTTTAAACGTGGCCACACCTCTGTAAATAGCCCCTTTATGAAACAGCCTATTCAGTTTCAAAGTTGAGTGTGCATCTATTTCCTTCCAGAACCATGACTCTTCTTACCTGGCCTCCGCCTCTAATCTCTCCATCAACCATCAATTCACACTCCACATTGTCATTATACTGATTGTATGCAGTGTCTGATAGAAGTATACTGAAACAAGCAAGAGGGCGCCAACTATCTATTAGGGAAAAGGTCACATAATCGGTGATTGGGCAACAGTGTTGTGGTCTGGGAGAATGGGGTGGAGGTGTGTTAGGTTCCCGGCGGATGGGGGGAAAGGCATACTGGCTAACAACCCTGACAGCTACCCAATAGAGTTGAGACAGGCTGGGACCTGGGACCTTTTGCTGCAGTGCCTGCAGGCGGACAAATGTCTCCTCGAGCAAAAAAATACAAAGAAACTATAAGGGACTAAAAATTTGACTACATGCAGGCGCAACTGGGGCAAATTATGAACAACATACAAAAAGACCAAAAAGCCACACAGCACCACCAAGGGGATAGGCAGACCACCCGACCCCTGGACCCACCCCTATCCTCACCCCATATAAGGAAACAGCTCCCCCTGCCCCCGGAGTGAGCAAGGGAACTTGTTACTTGTTTTCACTCCCTCCTGCTGCAGCAGGGGTTCCAATAAAGCCCTGCCTGAATTTCTTGTCTGGCCTCTTATCAATTTCTATTGATTAAGGAAGCCAAGAACCCTGGTCAGTAACAGAGTGAATTTATCCCAGTTCACCATCTGGCTGTTAGTTTCAAAGACACAGTATCACAAAATGCCAGCGTATTGAGAGCGGATCCACTTCCCAAAGGGTGTCTTGCATGATCCATTATAAGCCCTCTAAGAACACGTCTATTTATTCAAGTCTTCTTTATTTCATCCAATATAGTTGGGTCATTTCTTTAACATCAGAAAATGGTATTTGGCCAACAATTTAGCTAGTTCACTCTATGGTACTTTTAAAGAGCAAAAAAAGTTCTTCCACTTAAAAAGAAATGCAAACTACTCAGAGGTGTCAGGTCAGTAGCTGCAGTGGGTCCTGTCAAAAACACCAAAGATTATGGGAATGATTAATGTGGTGGGGTGTTGACTTCATTAGGATTAACTGGACACGAATCAGGAAAATATGAAAATAATGCCTTGTATACTATAGGCAGTCTCCACAGATCAGAGTATAAACCAATGCCAACACCACCTAATCATTCCCAATCCCAGTGGTTTTCAACTCATGTCCTTAAAATGCCTTACCAGGGTGTCAATGCCATGCTGGGGAAAAAAAATACATAAAGCATTGTGTTCTTAAATAAGTTCTTGAAATGCTAAATGACACAAAGCTCAATAGGTTTCTCTAGGGTGACCATGGGTCATCTTCTTGTCCTGACTGGTTTAGTATTTATCCTAGACAAAAGTGACCCCATTTGTACAATAAACTCTTTTTTTTTTTGGCCACACCTCACTGCATGTGGAACTTCCCCAGCCAGGGACTGAATCCGTGCCTCCTGCATTGGAAGCATGGAGTGTTAACCACTGGATCACCAGAGAAGTCTAGGACAATAAATTATATGGCACACTTTTTGTGTGTGATTTCTCAGAGTCTTTATTGTTAGATGCCAATATGCACCATGAATTTCTAACAAGAGGGTTTAGTATGCATAGTATCCCAACCTATCTGACCCCCAAACATTTTTTCCAGACCTAATGATATTTGCTCTTCTCTACACAGTTAGAACTGCACATGCCTCCCTCCATTAAATATAATGTTTGCTTTACTCTCTAGAGACTTTGTATATATATATTTGTGTGTGTGTGTGTGTGTGTGTGTGTGTGTGTGTGTGTGTGTGTGGTACACGGGCCTCTCACTGTTGTGGCCTCTCCCGTTGCGGAGCACAGGCTCCAGACGCGCAGGCTCAGTGGCCATGGCTCACGGGCCCAGTTGCTCCGCGGCATGTGGGATCCTCCCAGACCAGGGCTCGAACCCGTGTCCCCTGCATTAGCAGGCAGATTCTCAACCACTGCGCCACCAGGAAGCCCAACAAATGTTTCCTGAGCACCTATTGTGTGTCAAGCACTAAGACTATAACAATGGATAAACGTAACAAAAAAAACTCCGCTCTCAGAGATTTAATCTAGTGGGAGAAGACCATGACAACAAAACCCACACATATATGTATGTCCAGTGAATAACGGTTATGAAGAAGATAAAGAAGATAAGGCTCAAGTTGCAGGGTGGGTGGTTGAATTTTACACGGGGTGGTCAGGGACAGCCTCTCTGCTAAGGTGACTACAGGGAAGAGACCTGAAGGCACTGAAGAAGAAAGCCATGTGTTTAACTGGGCAAAAAGTTTTCCAGGCAAAAGGAACAGCATGTCCAAAGTCCATGAAAGAGGATGGTGCTACACCAGGCGGCTGGGGCCGAATGAGCCAGGGGCAGGGTTTTATAAGGACACAAGGTTAGAAAGGAAATATGGGGCAGTTCATGTTGGAACTCATAGGGATGGCTAGGATTTGGGATTTTATCCTGACTGATATGGAAGGCCACTGGAGGGGTCTGACTTACTTATGAAGAGGCCCGCACTCACTGCTGGGAAGAGGGTAGGGGAACAATGATGGAAGCAGGGTGACCAGGTAGGCACTACAATGATAGGAGGAGAGGGGATAGTGGCTTGGATTAAGGTATGGCGATGGAGGTGGTAAGCAACTGTTCATGTTCTGGACATAGATTTCGTATAGAACCAATAGGATTATTGATGAATTATATGTGATATGTAAGAATAACTCGAAGGCTTTAAGAAACTGGAAGAATGGATCTGCCATTTACTTAGAATTATATGTGATATGTAAGAATAACTCGAAGGCTTTAAGAAACTGGAAGAATGGATCTGCCATTTACTTAGATGCGGAAGATGATGGAAATCTGAAGTTTGGTTTTAGACATACTAGGTAATGAAGTGCCGATCAGGACACCTATAAGCAGAGATGTCCAGCAGGCAGTTAGATGTACACTTATGAGATCTGGCTGAAGATATAATTTGGGGAGTAATCGACATTTATTTAAAGGCACGTTTGTTTACTCAGTCAGGGAGTGAGTGAATTTGGGAGGAGGCCTCATTGAGTTTAGAGGTCTGGAAGATGAAATGGAACCAGTAAAGTTTGGGACTAATAGACCTACGGGTGGACAACTACGCGAGTGATGTCACAATAAGTGATTTGTCAAATTATTTTCGTAGATGAGATTTCAGTCCCAGAAACACCCTTATGAGAAGTTTCTGACTCGAGATTTTAATGAATGTTGTAAGAACGCAGAATGAACCTTGAGTTTCCTGAGCGGAATCCTTTTCACCCCCCCACCAAGTTTTTTTTTTTTTTAAGGGAGGAGCGCGTCTCGCTGCCCGAGTCCTAACCGTCTCAGAAAGTTGCCAGGGCCACTACCGAAGCCAGATACGCAGGCATCCTCGCCCCTAACGACTGACCAGGCCGGGGTCGGGGGTGAGGGGAAGGGCGAGGGTAGCGGGGTGGTGCGGGGAGGGTGGGCGGGGCCATGAAACCCCGAAGCTAGCTCTAACCAATGAGCGGTGAGAAGGTCGTGGGAAGGGGGTGCCACCAGGTAGCCAACTTCCCGGGACGTGGAAGGGGCCGCTGCGGCGAGGGACCCCTCCAATCCCGCTGAGCACCAGTGGACAGGGACTCACCTCGAGCCATGGACCCCCTCGGTGCTGTAACCCCGAGTGTCCTGGCTGTACGGACAGCTCAATTCGCATGCGGAGGGAGCCTCAAAATTCTAGGGCTAGGCAACCGGAAGTCTACGAACCGCTCTGGCCCGGCAGCCTGGGAGAGCGAGACCGACTCCTCCGGGGCTGGCGCATGCGCACTTGTAGGCCCGCTCTTCCCGGAAGCCCGAGCAGAGACCGGTGGGATTCCTGGGCCCAGCCTCCTTCTTCTCGGTCGCGGAGTTTTTGTTCTCCCGGATTGGCGTTTCCCAGCTGCTGCCACTGTCAGTGAGAAGCATAGCCGGCAAGTTTCCTGAGTCAGGAAATGGTCCTTTAAAATAACGCTCTTCAAATTTGAACTTGCAGCGGAATCTTTCGGGGATCTTGGTATATAATGCAGCTCGGGATTCGGTAGGTAGTGGTGGGGTCCCACTTTCTGCATTCCTAAGGTCTTCCCGAGCAGTAACGATCCTCTTGGTCCCTGAAGGACGCTGAGTAGCAAGGCAATAGGAACAGTTGAGCGTGGATGCTGGCCTTGGCGACCTTAGGAAGGACCCTGTGCATGCACAGAAACTTGTCCCGGCTAATAAAAGGACAGTTTGAACGCGACTCCAACACGAGAGTAATTAAAAATGTTTTTCTTCACGAACTAAATATACACAATGCACTTTTTCCTTTATGTTACATATTCATTGTAGAAATCTTATAAATGAGGTTTGTAAACTGATATCCATTGATGTCAGGTACTACTGAAACTGCTAGGTGGCGTTTTCTTTTTTTTTGGGGGGGGGGCGCTCCCAGGAGCTCTGCTCCTTTATGTTTCAGGGCAGAAAGAATTCAGCCAGAGGCAAAGTGATGGATAAGAAGTGACTTATTAGAATAGGACGCTTGTGAGGCTTACAGGCGGGCAGGCGAGCGTTGTGCTGCCCCGAGTACTTCGTGGGTTACATTTTTATAATCAAAGGAAAAATGGGGAGGGGAAAAAGACCACCTTCTTCCTCATTCTTGAGTAGATGTCATGTTTCCATCATCAGCTCCTCCTCCAGGTTGGGCAGGGGAGGTTTTCTTGTCCCTACATGGTCAAGCCGGGACTGTTATGGCACTATGGAAAATTATTTTAGGTCTCAGTACAATGAGGGTCTTTCACTTTGAAGTGTCACCTTTCCATAAATTATTGTTTTTTATGTGTGCAGAGAGCATGTCCTAGGAGTCATTAACTTACTGAGCTCACTGGGCAGGATGTGAGTCTCATGCTACCATTGTTTTATTGTTTTGAGGCATGCCTCATACTTCTGTTGTATGGTTTTGTGGTTAGGCAAACCTGCATTCTTGAGTGATCATTAACTTACTGTGGTCTCCCAAAGCCCCCTAAAGTTCCCTCTTTATCTGCAATCCCCTAATGGGATTTCTGAGCTATTTGATTATCCTACTCTATCCCTATCAGTTTTTTCTTTTGAAGTAAAAATGAAATGAACATCTTAAATGTATATTTGCTGAGTTTTGACAAACGCAAACACCTTTGTAACTCAAATCCTATTGAGATATAGAACATTACCAGCACCCCAGAAAGTTCCTAAATGCTCCTTCCCAGTCAGTCCCCACCCAACCCAAGAGGCAACCACTACTCTGATTTTTTCTCCCACCACAATTAGTTTTGTCTGTTCCAAAACTTCATATGGATGGAATTATACAGTAGGTACATTTGTGTAAGGCTTCTTTCAGTATAAAGATTCATCCATGTTTTTGTGTGTATCAGTAATTTCTTTTTTTTGCTTAGTT